GCCTACTTCTCAGCATAATTTACATGGATTTTATACTCTTTTAAGAGTCCCGCACACTTATCTTTTAAAAGTAAATCAGAAATTGAGAATAAATAAAATAAAATGATTGTGATGTCGAGCATATCACCACATTTCATTAACAATTAATATGACAACTACATAGCGCACAGATCCAACTAGATCCCACTCCTTTGGGAGATCAATCGAGCCTTTATGAGAATCTCCGTGAAAAATTCATTCACAACTGAAAAAAAATGCAAGCCAAAAAAGTGATTTTTCTTGATCAAAAGATATGGGAAGCTGTAAATAGCCAAGAGAAAAATAACAGTAACAAAGAGATTCAAATTCGGCCTCCGTTTAACCAGATTGGCAATGGAAACCAGCTGCGACGATGACCAAAATCTAGCCGTTCTCAACCTTTCCCAAGAAGAAAACACCACTTCAAAATTGACATTGCGGGAAGGACTTGAAAAGATGTCTGATACAGACCTTGCGGAGCATATTAAGGAAACGGCTGCAAAATTCTATCCCGAGCCATTGAAGCCAGTCCAAACCGAAACAGTGATCAGCTTGGTCCGTCGCAAACACACTTTCACACTTGCTGGGACCGGTTTTGGCAAGACAAGGATTGGCGAAGTGTACTACCGACTTTTTCCTGCGTACAAGAAACCCATCATTGTGGTGTTGAATCCTTTGGATTCTCTTGGAGATAATCAAGTGAGTTAAAACTGGGCAGACCTGACTTTTTCATACAGCTGTGTAAGGACTTACTTGTCGTTGTGTTTCTTCATGATTTGTGATATTGCAAAGGTTCTTGAGAAAAAAAATGCCAAGATAAATGCAGTGAATCTGACCAAGATGAACTTGACACCGGAGATCGAGAAAAAGATCATTCGAGGGGACTATGGCTTTATTTATCTGGTTAGATTTTTGATTTCCCATCCTTCAAGTCAAAGCAGAAAAACCTGAGCTGATATGTAAATACGTTGTGTACCTTGAAAAATTAGAGCCCCGAGGTTCTTTTAAACAATCCAATGTTCCGGAGAATATTTTTCCATCGTCAATTCCAATCCAAATTAATCTTAACAGTCGTGGACGAAGCACACATGATCTACGTGTGGGGGTTGGTTGCAAGTGGCCTTGGTAAAAAGATCAGTTCGCACTTCAAACTCCAAGACCGAGGAATATTTAGACCTTCTTATGGTGACTTGGGCACTAGACTCCTTGCAACTCATGGTGTTCCGATCCTTCTACTATCAGCAACCTGCAGACCTATTGCAATTGAGAAGATCCTGAACAGCTTGAAGATCTTACCCGAAAACATGAAATTAGTGAATGGTGAACTCACCCGTCCTGAGATTCGCCTCATCCGTGTGCCAATGAAATCATCTCTTGGATCGTGCAACGACCTCAAACGGCTCTTTTCAACCCAAACATCAATTCCCAACAACAAGATCCCCCCTACACTAATCTATGCTCCAACTCGCAATCTCACCTGGCAGGTCCTCCGCGTGATCCACGAGGCTCGTGCGATTCAAGGTGGTCACCTTGATGCTGGAAGTACTTTTGCACGTCGCTACCATTCCTGTACTGGGAAACTGGACAAAATCGATATAATCAGTGGATTTGAAGATGAAGCATTTCCAGTCATTTCGTGCACCATGGCCCTTGGATTGGGTCAGAACTGGAAGAGGGTGAATTGTGTAGTCCATGTCGGACGAGGTGACCCTTCATCAATCTGCCAGATGATTGGGAGGTGTGGTCGTGGGGAAAATAATCCGGGTCTAGGAATAATGTTTGTCGAGTCCAATCGGAGGACAGGAAAAAATAAAATCAACGATTTCGACAAGCCATTTCAGCAATCTGATGATGATCGGATGGATGCATTTGCTATCACCCCAGTCTGCCTTAGAATAGCCATGTCACTAGATAATCTGTGAGTTTATCTACTGTATAAATCCCTAAATGGTTGGGTTGTGTTTGACTGGAGATTGTTTTCTTAAAGATTGGGATACATCCCATTGGATAATAATGATCCAAATGTAAAGCTGGAACGATTGAGAGAAGAGGGAAAAAATTTTACCACATGTCTGTGCTCCAACTGTGAACCCGATAGTGCCCAGGAGTTGGTCAATGCCTTCAAACATCTCACAACGGACAACTTCAAGGAGAATATCACCTCTAGGGATATATCGATTGACGTTCCAGTGCCCCCAAAGGTTCCAAAAGTTGCAACCACTCGATCGGTTGTTAAGGCAGACACTGGAAAGGAACCGTTAGATGGCGAACTTGAAGAATTTTCCAAGTTCTTAGCTGCAAAGTTTGCCGATTTCCACTACACTCAAATCGGCGCAGAACATTCGGAATTTGAGCCTGAGGATCACTTTGGGATTTTTGAGGCGAGAAGGGTTGTTGTAGCTTTCCGTGGAGGTGCTTCAAATGAAGAGATAGAGGATTTTGCTGGTGGCAAAGCTCACAAAGGTCAAATGGAACATTTGCTCAATCAGATCAACAACTACATTGGAAAAGTCTCTTATCTTGACTACTTGGAGCAGTTAGAAGTACAAAAACACAAGAATGACAAAGCGAAAACAAAGGAGGTTGCAGCAAGAAAACAAGCCACTCTTGAAAGGCGACACCAGAAAGCAGAAGAAACAAAACGGAGGAATCTAGAACAAGCAGCAGCAAACAAACGCCAAAAAAGTAGATAATGATTCTATTTTCAAGGGTTGATCTCACCCGCATCCTCATCTCCATCTTCAAACATATTTGCCTCCTCGATGGGACCGTTTGAAGGGTTATACAACAGTATAGTTGATGGTCGCATCCGGTGTAGCTTCTTCTTCTTCTGTTTGTAATCTTGATGCAATGCTCTTGAACCAGCTTTGAATATGTCCACTGTTTTAGATTTGAATGCAGCCGATTTGGAAAGCACACTGTGCTGATGTGCCATTGCCAGATAGCTATTTATAGAATTGATTGTCATCTTGTGTTTATGTGATTGATAAATTATGTTTTTTCCTGAGTCACCTTTGATCCCCTGTACAAGCTCGCGTAGCTGAAAAAAGTGAGAGAGAAAATGCGGGTTAATTTAGAAAAGTCAAATAGTAAAAACTGAGAATCTTACAATAGGAACAATGAGTGAGAAAACATCTTTCAATCGGGATATTTGAGTCCCAATCCCGCTGTGATCGTAGAAGTACTTGAGCCAAAAGTTACAGTTTTCTAAGAAAAAATCTTTGGCAACAAAGTGATTTGGCCTGCCACTTGGGTTAATCAGAAGTGAGTGCAGTAGAGTTTTTGCAAGGCCAGTCGGAAGGACTTTGGTTAAAAGCAGTATCATCCTGGGTAAGTATATTGCATAGTTGTTAAGTCCCTTTATCCCATGAGCCATCAGGGTCCAACGTTTCCACATGTTGAGAACCCTTCCGATATCGCCTGCCCGCATTGCACGATCGCATTCAACTATAGATGCAAAATCACGGAGCCGCAGAAGAACGTTCTTGAGACCAGTTGCCGAATCTTCAGAAGCATTCCGAAAATCTGTTGGTGAAAAAAACTGATTGTAGCACAGATCAATGATCTTGTTGAGCCTCTGTGACGAGATCTTGACTTTTTCCTCTGGCAGTAGGGCTTTGGGGAGATTCATCAACGTCCTAGACCAAAATTCACACTTTTTAGCAAAACATTCTGAGCAGATCAGGAGTGATAAACTTACAAAAGACAATATATAATGGTTGCTTCATGACATTTTGTCATGTGTGTAAGCATCAAACTGAAATCTTTTTTTGTTGTCGGTCGCTCCGAGGGTATTCCGAGCGATGACAGTGTATGCCATGCACCTAAGTCTAGAGAGTCCGATGGGTTTCCAAAATGTAGAAGGAAAATTGCCTGCGCAAAATTCCAAAGGATATGTGAGGCCCCCAGAAGCGAGAAAAATCCAGCCAAATTGTCTTGAACGTGACCGCTAGGTTTTCGTTGGGCTCTGAGGCTTTCCACATTCATGCAAGTCGCCAGATCGCCTTCAAGCACTTGTAGTCAAGTGTAAAACTGTTCTGCGGTCAGTTTTGTTTGAAGCAAGAATCCTTCCAGGACGTCGCCGACACTGTCAGTGGAGTTGTCGGAGGCAATCATCAATTTGAACATTGAAATGTCTGGCTTCTTGACAGCTATCGGATCGATCGGAGGTGGAAACTTTGGTAGGTTATGTTTCTTATCAGCTGGAGTGGCAATGTAGTCTAGTAAAACTTTAGTGATTTGACTTTTGAGGACTGCTTGGAAATGCAAGCTGGCATCATTGTCTGAAGAAAGAAGATGATCGACTTCATTCTGCGATCCTGTATTGCCTTCTGTAACGTTCTAGCAAGAAGTTCCCGATCAAACTGGTCATTAATGCTTATTGGGGACATGAAGATAGCCCCAGGTGCCGTGGAACATCTGGGTAGTATCTCAACCGACTTTTCGTGAACTGACTCCTCGAAGTCCAGGTTGTCCAGGCATATGATTGGGGCTAGCGGGGATTTTCGGCTGGCCATTTGTCGGATAACCTTCAACTCTGCAGCTCTGCCGAGGGAACTGACTGCACGGTGAGCTGTTCGACGAGAAGATGCAAGGCCAATATAATTCAGATAGGTGCTCACCCTCTCACTCACCCCGCAGGCTAACAAAACAACTGAGTTTTGTATTTGAAGGGCATTGTCTCGTCGGTTGGCCCCAAATGCAACCATGGAACAGACAGTTGCTGCCAGGACTTGCGGTCGATTAGCTCGGTTGAAAGGTTCTTGACAGTCCTCTATCTCCTCGAGGGCACTTCTTCTTGCTAAAGGTGTTTCTCTAGTTGTTCTTGATGGCGAAGTGTCGGTTTCAGATTCCTCTGAATTGGTGTCTGAGCCGTTATCCGCTGGAGCTCGTGTAGGAACCGGGGTTGCTGCCACTTGCAAAGATGCTGGTTGAGCCCGTTGTATTTTGTGCAGTACGAGATTGTACAGGAATGGCATGTCCTCTGTGACAAGTTTGGTTGTGCGAGTGAGCTTTGATTCGTCCGAGAAAAAATTCTGGATTCACAGATTTGGTGTTGTAATAGTTGCCTTGAGGAAATTGCCCCGTGTGCTCCTCCTTTGGCGTCAAGAATGATTTGTGCCTAGCAAAAAGAAAATTGATCGGACCTCAATATTCACAAAGATCTAGCAACAACATCTAATATATGAGCAGGACTCACCTCTGATAGGATGTACTGGTTCCATCGAGCTTTGCCGTCGGTGGTGTGCTGAACCAGTCGCTTGATGGCGTCCAAAATCCGGATGGTTGATGGCCATCCAACCGGCGCTCCCCATAAACGACGATTTGATTTGATTTTTGGATCTTCATGTGTAAGATAAGCTTGGATAAATTGCTTTGGGTCCAGGCTATAAGCATGCATTACCTTGTCGACAAAAATTAGTTTATCTCGTATCAGCAAAAGAGGAGGTAAGTTTTCCATCTTCTTGAAGGGAGGTGACTTGGTTGGATTGTACGTGTCAAAAAGATAGCAGGATTATGATTGGTGGAGGGAGTTAATGATCAAAGCTAGACATCGCATGATCGGAGCTAAAGATTGAGTGGAGAGAGAGAATCTGCAGAAAAAAAAATGGGCACGTACTTTTATCACGTTGTATCAGCGAATAGACCTTGGGATGATTGCGCACAGTCGGTTGTGTTCTGATCCGGTGGAATATCCGAGAAACTTGAGGAAATGGATGTTTTTGAAAAATCAAAAAAGAATGAAGATGGAGCGGAGGTGGGCTCAAATTATATTAGAAGAAGGAGAAGATGGAGGCGTACCATACACCAGAAACTTAGAATGATTGTTGCTATGAGGGATGAGTTCTGGGGGCTTAAAGTGAAACACCACCAAAACCCAGATAAGTCTCATGCCATCCATTCAGGACCTTGGTGCCGGGAGCGTGAGTGTCTCCTCATTTCTTAATACAGCGCAGGCCGCAGCCTTGCGTGTCTTGTCAACTTACATGTTCGGCGCTCTGTGCCAAGCGCCTAGGGAATCCCGGAGACCGCTGAGGGTCTCCCAAGACTCCCGTGTGTGGGTCAGGGGGGAGAGGTCAGTCGACTTGAGGATGTTATCCCCAAGAAGCATCCCGCCGGCCTCGTTCCGATCCCACTGAACCAATGCCGCCGGGAGGGTGGCAAAGGAAGGGAGGAACTTACGCCGAGGCCGGGCGAGGACAAGACTCTCCCCGGAGCAAACAAGACACCCCCAGAGGGGGTGGAGCAACCGCCAGACCTATCTCTGTCAGGGCCTTCAATGACAGCCTTAGCGTTGCTTGCGAAGCTCCTTTGCCCAACACTTCTAGTTGAACAGGCTATGATTTCAAGATATGTTTACTACTAAATAGATTTGGAAACGGCTCTGCTTGAACCTTACAAGGTTGGGTCAACTTCCCTTGAGGGTCGAGAGGGTCCAGCACTCCTCAAGCCTGTTGAGGAGGGTATAAGTGGCCTCGAGTTCTTCAGGGGGGAATTCCCGGAGATACAATTTGTAACAGTCTGAATTCCACCTTCCTCGCAGACAGATCTGTTCGTCTGAGACACCGAATGCTTTCTGAACAGAGGCTCCTCCTACCCGAAACGAGTGACCAGAGACCCCTTCAAGGTTCTGCGCTTTCCAGATTTTGTCTAGTGCTCTCGTAGCCATCGGTTTGGTGAGGTGAGTCCTGGAGCCATCCGCCTCGGTGAATCCAAAGAGGGATGTTTCTCCGTTAGTCGAGATAAACTGCTCTGCTTCGGCGAGTCTTCGCCTTATCGCGAGAATAGGGCAGAGCATATGGGGCAGTTGATGCAGATGTATCACTTGCTCCTCTCCGGGGTCAGCCGTCTTGGCTCCCCTGATGATCAGTGAGACCTTGCTCCCTTCTAAGTCTTGGTCGAATTGTACGTCTGAGGTTAACAAGGAAGCTTGCCGCCTCAGGAGACCTTTGCTGTTGTTATAAGTCAACTCGACTAGCCGAGCCATCCCCCAGAAGGCTACGATCGCTAGGTCAAGCAGTGCCTTTTGGAACGGGTCTCCAGGGCCTAGGAGTTCCGCGAGCTTCACCATGATTCCGACAGTAACGGCCTTCTTGCGTGGTTTTCTAGGCGTATCCAAGTCCGCGTAAGTAGAGGATTTGAGCATCGTAGCGACTTTCTGCTTGGTCTGTTCGGGGAAGGGAGTGTCGTGGTAAGTATGCCACATTTGGATTCCCGCGAGGTATTTCCTCAACGTAACAGCGGCTACGTCGTGTGATGTTGGTGCGTCTGCGGTCCTCCCTGCCCAATGGCAGAAGTCGTAGATGTCTTTAGGCTTAAGGGGGAGCGTGTACGGAATTCTGCCGGTCTCCTTAGCGAATGCCTGATACTTCTTTATGGCAGCGTTGTAGCTCAGCAGTGTATTCCATCGATACCCCAACAGGTAGTGCCTGTCTTGAGCTGTAGGTTCTCTGGGAACGGAACCGTTGTTGGTTATTCCGGGTACTTTAGAGAAATCTATCATGTTTGATAGTGGATAGAGATATAATTGAGTTTGGTAGTTCCTGGGGAGATTCAAAGACGATGTGGATGCAAAATTACATTGATGGAGATGTGGGTATATGAGGTAACAATGGTAGACGTAGGTAGCGGAGGAGTAGGGTGCCTAACAGTAGGACTGATACAATCTGAGTTCTAGGTCATGAGGTACGACGACTGGAATCTGGAATCGTACATCTTTACCTGACCTGTCGCCCCTAGATAGCGCGTCTGCCAGATTGTTTTGGGAAGTTACCCTCCTTGAAACAATGTCTATCTCCTCTGCGACCAGTAATCTTTGGATTGCTTTCCATTCCTCATTGACTGCTGGGTTTTTGGACTTGCGCTTTGGTATAGCGCTCTCTGTCGTAGTATTGTCTGTCCATACAATTAGCGTCTTGCCTGGTCTTATTCTTACGTGTTTGAGGGCTAGAATCCCTAGTCGGATGGCAGCGTTTCAAGCCAGGCGATATCGCGTTTCGCTCCGTCCTCGGTCCCAGTCTTAGTCAATGAAATGGGTCAGGTGTCGGCCTATGGTTATCCCAATGCCATAGCTTGTCGACGCATCGTCCATCCACCCAATTTCGGTCGGGTCCGGATTCCTTATCATTCTTGTCTCCTTGAAACAAAGGAGGGTGGTGTGTCAATCCTCCAGATCCTGTCGTGCGTCAGTCGGTAAGAGGAGATCTATGTGCCTATAGACCCAGGCATTCATCCACCGATATAGGCTGTTAAGGTAACACCTGAGTTGCGGGAGGAGGTAAGATACGTGATTGAGTCTTCCCGCCATGACTTCGACTTGTTTGAAGGAGAATACAGCTCCTGGTGCGAGGAATTGTTTTATCTGCTGAATTCTCTGATACTTCTTCTCATCCGGTAGTCTCACCGTCTTCCGGGGTGCGTTCCAGACGAAACCGATGTATTTCTGTTCTTCTCCAAACGGGGAGTATTTGGTTGAGTTGGTTTTTACCCCCAATTTCTCCGATCTCGCGACTATCTGCTCCATCTCCACGGTGGAGTCAAGCCTTTTGATAAATAGGTTATCATCTACCCACCGGAAAACGGTGATCAGATCGAATTCATGTAGCATCAGGTCTTTCCATGCGTCCGCTGGTCTGCCAAATGAGCCACAGCCAGCTACGCCCCCGAACGCTATCCTGGTGTCGATTAGGATGCCCCCATTGAAATCTCGGACCATAAGGTAGGCCCATTGAGATTTGGCCGTTGGTATTTGTCGGTACGCTTTTTCCCAATCGAAGAGGGCTAGTAGAATAGGTGTGTCTTGGCTGCGGAGGAATTTTGAGACACGTTCGAAGTCATCCCATGTGGTGACGTAATCTAATTTGTCCACAAAGGAGTTTACTGAGGGTATTTGAGGATCATTGTGAGGGAAGGATAAGTCGTTTATCGGCCTGACTGAGCCGTCTCCGTTCACCACCGCACCTAGCGGGTTAGATCTGAAAAATTTGTACTTCCCCATCAATTGTTCGTGTGTGTACGGTCCGTACATACGGCCGGCCATGATTTCCTTGCTTATTGAAGATTCGATCTTTTCCTGGGCTAACAGGGCTGATTGGTGATTTGGAGGGGTGAAGTAAGGGATAGATGGGCCTAAGTCGTGATTAGGGATACCTTGGTCAAAACCAAACTGGAGTCCGTGAATGACATCCGAGTATTTCTCCGTAAGGCCTGCCTCTCCTAGGGCCTTCTGCCATTCTTCAATATCCATTTCGCAAGTGACTTCTTCAGGCCAGATTACTGATTTGCCTCCCTCTTGCTCTGTTGGAGGTATCTCCCCTAAAGGTTGTAGCGGTATCGCACTCATGGCCCTTGCTTTTTGCTGACTGTTCAATTAATAAAGTCAATTGTCTAACGTCAGGGTTCAATTCCTCTCTGTTTCTCATTTGGTGGTTTGGATGGAATTGGATTGCAATGGTTATGGGTTTTTTGAGGGTTTAGTCTAGTTACAATCGATAGTCAGAAAACAATGGGTAGTAATTCCGTTTTTTTTTTTTTTTTTTTTGGAGGTTTTAAGGAGAAATGGAAATTGGAATCGTGTGAGCTGTCTTGGAACGTCACTATGTCGATCGATGTACTTTGGGACAGGGTTTCGGTCGGTTTCTTAGAAGGGTAGGTTGTGGTGTGGGGCAGAAGGTAGTGTGGAGTGATAGAGGGCGAAGTGAGAAATTGTGATTGGTAGAGAACGAATGGGGAAAGAGGGGGAGGAAGGCGGCGGTACTTACTAGTCTCTTTTCTTATAACCGTTCCCGTGGTTCGGGTTAAAATTCTTCCCCTTATAACCGGAGCTCCTTTGGGGTCTCCCCTGGTTCTGGTCTGAACTACCCGGTTTCATTGGGAGTGAGCTTGGGGTTTGGGAAAAGGAATTCGAGGATTGAGGGAAAGATGACGATGCGTTTTGACTTGGTGTGGTTTGAGCTGCGTTTTTTGTCGAGGGAGTTGTCGTGGTGTTTGACTTGGCGCTTCTTTGGCCTGTGTGAGGGTCCCAGCCGTACCGTGGTCCTCCCACCGCATAAGGGTTATCTCTGAGGCCTAACTCGTTGAAGTTTCTGGCTTCTGAGTGGGCATCGTCTGCGGTTTCAGGTTTGTACTCTGAGATGTCCGATACAAATTCTTCTCCGTCTCGTTCAACCCGGAAGGCGAACGCATTGTTCCGGATTCTAATGTCATAGCGTAGAGCGACCATGAAACCATGCTTGCGTTGTAGCTTGTCGCAGTTGTCCTTGTGGATGAGGCACCATTCCGCTAACATCGGGTAGTTGTAGCGATCCCTCATCGTTTCATAGAAACACCTATGATTTAGTGTCCAGTCTGCGAATGATTGGGTCCACTCGTCGGGTACTGCTAATCCGTGATATCGGAGACCCTTCTCGGCTGAAGTTTCGTCCGTTTTGGGACGGTTCTTTGAGTGATAGCTGAGAGCTTCTTCTTGCCACTTCCTGTTGAAGATGGTCAAGGGGATTGGGCCCTTGAGTTCAGAGATGTTTTTGTGGAAATATGGAGTGAAACCACCGTCGTCATGGGAGTTTGAGACGCCCCATTTGAATTTAAGGCCTTTTGATTCTGTGGCTCCCCCGGCTACTGCGGGCCTCTTCTGGGGGATCACTGTCGGGCTTGTGAGGATTTGGATCTCGTGATCGTTTTGCGATACCACGAGGGTTTCTTCTTTGAGTAGTGTGTCATGCATCGCGAAGAATCGGTCTGATTTCTCGTCGTCTCCTTCTTCTTGAGCTTTTATAGCCTTGGCGAGCAGCATATTTCTTGCCTTGATTTTGGTTGCGTTCGGTTCGGGCGATCTAGCGCTTGGTGGTTCTTGTGACCCCACGACCGTTTTACCTAAGGAATATGCATTGGTCTTAGTTCTTTGTTGTATTCTTTGGTTAGGTTCTCTCTTTGTTTTTTTTTTTTTTTTTTTTTTTTTGGCTTACCGATCTCTTTGTTGAGGATGTTCGCGGTTTTGGAGATTTTGGTGGCAGCTGCCGATCCTTTTGGTGCGGTACCATTGTCTTTCCGGTTGGATGGTGGGTTAAGCTGGTTTTGCATTCTAGCGTCTGTACTTTTTTGGGTCGGATTCCCTTTAGACGGGGCGGAAGGAATGGTGTTTGTTGGATTTTTCGGGATAGGTGTGGAAATATTGGTAGGCGCTGGAGTGGGGTTAGGGATTTGGGATGAGGTAGTATTGGAGGGGTTGGGATTTTGGTTTTGGCTCGCTTGGTTGAGGGAGTCGCTAATGGACTGGAGGGGGTCGATGGTCATGGTTTTGGATGAGGAAGAGATTAATTGCGATTGAGGGTATGGGGGGGTGTATGAGTGGTAGAGCGGGGTTCTTTGGAGGTTCAGGAGTGGGAAGCGAGGGAAAGCGAGGAGGGGAAGGTTGGTTTCCGGTAGTGAGGGTTGGAGTCAATATTGACTTTGTGATTGTGAGGATGTGTGATTGCGAGGATGTGTGTCTATCGAGCGTTTAAGATTTCTACTGTGCTTATAGTTTGTTTGTTTTGAAAGAAAGGAAAGTCTTTGAATAGAATTTTGAAAAAAGGAAAATGCCTCAGATATGAGTATCTCTGAGGAGGAGACGAGGAGGGGGAGAGCGGATAGAGGGAGAGAGGGGGAAAGGGCCATAGTGAGTCGCAGACCTCGAGCCTATGAGGTCTGCGCTTTGGCTCATCGGCCTCAGCTCCCGGATGGCTTCAGACTACTTCACCTGTACTAGTGCCCTGTGCAGCTTGTACCGTTCAGTGAGCGCCGCGCGACGCCGAGGCTTCCGCCATGGGAGTTCAGTCCTCCCATGGACACGCTATAACTCTCGCTACGCTTCCGTCACCGCTCCAGAATCATTTGTTAAGTCACAAGTCCCTCCGGCAGAAAGCCTCGGGCAAGAGGAGGGACTTGGGTTAAGTTCGTGTATTTCCCCCACCCACATCTCACCCCATTTTTTGAAATATATCCACAAAAACAGTCATTCCCACACCTCACCACATTGCCTTTTGAGCCTGAAATAAAATTTTTATTAGTATTTCCGTCAGACGGCTCACCCAAATTATTTTTACAAGTTGAAAAAAAACTAGTTTCTCCCCCCCCCCCCCCCCCCCTTAACACATATTGGAAGACAATTGACATCCTTTTTTTTCCATCAGGGACCACCACCTAATCTCTCAGTCAGAGAGGACGAATTGACTGAGAGAAGGAAAGATTTGCAGGCTCAACTCTCCTCCTTAAACCCCATCCAAGAAAATACCAAACTGGATCAAATTTCTCGCGTACTGGATGGATCAGCTGCCATTGTCAACATCAAGAAGCCCAAAGCAAATCCAAAGTCACGTGCCAAGCCCAAACCCCACACTTTCTCCAAAAAGGTCAAACTTGAAGATCTGTCCCCTCCCTCCAGGACTTTATCCCAGCTCACAGGCAGTTCCTCACAAAGCATCACCATTCTTAATCCACAACAAATATCTCAGCCACCCAAAAAGAAATTCCGTCCAATCTGCACTTCGAATCTCCTTGAACATCTCCCAGATTTCATCCAGCCACATGTTGAAAAATTTGAAAATGTGAAGTCAGATGGTCACTGCGGGTTCAGGGCTGCTGCTTTCTGCTTTGGAAAAGGCAAAGGATCATTCTTGAACATCCAAAATCAACTCGACGATGAAATCACCGAACGAAAGGATTTTTACCTCAAGATAGGATGCTTTGAAAATTCTAAACAATGGGAAAACACTTTAGCTAGAATCAAAACAAACTCAGCTGCGCCGGTTGGTGAAGAGCATTGGATGTCTATGCCAATGACTGCAGAGCCTTTGGCCAATGCTTTCAGCACTCCAGTATTTTATTTCTCAAAAACAGGGTCTCAAGGTTTTTTTCCACTCTTCACTCCAGCCAACAACAATCCCCCAATTTTCATCGCTTTCATTCCTGAATCATCTCACTTTGTTGCACTTACACTGAAGGATCCACTAAATTCCCCATTCCCATATTATGTTGGTTAGAATAATTGGAGAAAGCATGCTGATTGTAAAGCTCTAGATTGAGAGCAAAAATACTCTAGTTGTATTAAATTAGGTCAAGATGAATAGTCTTTCTTGAATTTTGGCTAGCTAGAAAATTTATATTTTTCATCTTTCTGTGTCTTTCATTCATCAAAATAAATCTAAAAATCTATCTTGAGCTTCAGAGTGATACATATAATATCTGATTGTTTAAAACTAAATAGCAGTACCCTCAATATTCTCTTTTCCCTCTTTATTGGTTTGATCAAATAAAAAATTATGTACATCCCAATTTCTCAAGCCATCTAAGGGCCTGTACCATAGGACATGAAACTTCAATTTCTCAAAATTTATCTTGCTCAAAATTTTATATTGTCAAAATTGACCATAAATAGAAGCTAGTCTTTGGCAAGAAAGTGAAGAAATTCAACACCAGATCTCTTCAATTGTTCCCAGTTTTTGTGTAGAAGATGGAAAAAATGCTCATTTTTGAAAATTGAACCCTACGGTACAGGCCCTAAGATTCCCACAAGGATTCAATCAAACCAAGAATTGATTCTGAGCCATGTTGTTGAATCTGAAAATATTTGATGGATCAATAAATGATGGAAAACATAAAACTAGAAGAGTAATTATAAAAAAACACAAGTGACTTACCACAACAAAATCATCTTTCTCCAAAACTACATGTTGTTCAATTTGAACCTTTCGAACTTGTCTGGTTCAAGTGCTTGAGCAAAGTTCAATCAACTGTTGTGGTACTGGGAGCACTTGAACGGTTTGAGCAAATGGATAGTGTTGGGGAGGAGCTGGATTTGATGCAGTGTAGTTGTAACCAAAGGACTTGCGGATGACTTCATTTTTCAGGAAGATATAGGGGGTATCAAATATAGGAAATCCACAATCAGAAACCAGTCACTTTTCCAAAAACTTTTTTTTGCATAAATAGGCCCCAAAAGGGGTTAAATGAATAACTAACATGTTTAAAAAAGGGTGGATTTTTTCAAATCAGTCAATTAAATAATGGTGGATTTGGTTATATTTGATACCCCCTATTATTGAGAACTTCTTGAGAGGCTTTGCAATGAGTTTCAGTTTCAGGATTGTACAGTCTCCTCCCAGATGTTTATAGCCATCTGTCTTGAGCTCCACACTGGGAACCCAAAAATTTCAAGTCAAAATAGTTGGTGGAATGGTGTAAAATGGGTCTCAAAGAATGAATATGAAAAAATAATAATGATAAACAAGATTATAAAATTTGTAAAGAATAAAAAGGAGAAAATAACAAAAACTGACAGCTCTAATATTTCTTTCAGGAAAAAATGAAATCTCCAAAGTGATAGTATGATATCTGGAATGACTAATAAGAAGTGAAAATTTGGAAAAAAGTGACTGCTTGGTGGTTTAAAAAGGGTGCATAGGGGGTCATTCATCAAGAAATGTGGCATTCTGGTGCTGCAATCTACCAATTTTGACTTCAGGGTGTCCACCCACCATGCTCAAACTTTTTTTGGATCAATATTTTTCATTTATAATCATTCTTTTCATGTTCCAAACTTGCCCTCTGTGTGTTCACTTTTCACTCAAACAAAAAATTAAAGTTTTCAAAAAAAGTTGATTTTCTTTTGTCTTCTTCACAAATTTTAAAATCTTGTTTTTTATTATTATTATTTCATATTCATTCTTTGAAACCCATTTTCCACCATTCAAAAAACTCTTGTGACTTGAGGTTTTTGGGTTCCTGCTTTGGAGTTTAAAACAGATGGCTATAAACATCTGGGAGGAGACTGTACATACAGCCTCCAGAGAGAAGAAATCTGTGTGTGTAATAATTATCAAAAGTGATAGCAATTTCTCTTCCTGGGCTTTGTCTGTTGGAGTGAGTTGATGCATTGCGTAAGACACCATTGAATGATTCAACCTTTTCAGTGGCAAAAAGAGTAGCTGGTCCAAATCGGCGTATTGATTCAGGGAGGTGGAGGAGGTGGTAAAATTTTGGCTTGTTGACCCACTGCGCTGTGGTTTTGATAGCATGATAAATGTAATTCTTGATGCAAATCTTTAGACGGGTCAAATATTCTTCCATGTTATTGATTTTGGTGATAAAGATAAATGGTACAAGTTGACAGAGAGCCATCCAGACGGCTTTGCGTTCAGGTTGACAGAGAGCCGTCCATACGGCTTTGCGTTCAGGTTCCAGGAATTGGAAAAAAATGAAAGGTGCTGCTTGAACCAGAATCTTGAATTCTTTTCTGACTAGACTTTTGATGTGATTGACAAATGATTTTCCATTGATGGGAGGAATATTCAAGCCTTGAGTGTTGAATGATTCGAGCCATGCAGCAAGTTCTTTTTTCTGATTGGTGTTCAGTTTCTTCCCTCCAAGTATATCCCTGGCCAGATAATTGACAAATCCAAAAAGAGCAACATGGAGGATCTCAACTGGAGTATCCTTAACACCATCAAACCCTAAAAAATACAAAGAATGTGAATATTTTTTCAGGTGAATAATCACATAAACAAGAGAACAGAAAACCCTGCCACTGTAGACCAACCTTCAAGCTCCAAAATTGAATTAAACAATTTGTGTGGCTCTTTGTCTTTAAATTTTTCCATCTTTTCTCTGATTTGAAGATTTTTCTTTGATTCTTCCAAAAACCGGGTGTTGAGTGAGTCAGTGATACCATATTTGAGTTTTTTTTTTTGGAGGGACTCGGCATGGCTTTCTTTGATTTCTTCACCATATATTTTGTAGGTCCTTTCATGTGTTTTGTTCCAAATCCTTCCATTTCCCCAAAAAGATGAGCAGAAAATCAGATACATTAACAAAAACATCACAGAAATGGAAGCTTACCTCAGATCCATCATGATTAATCCTCAAGAATTTTGTCATATAATCAAGAGTATTCCTCATGTAAATTACACATTCGGCAAGGATTCAATGAAGTGCTGGGATTTGGTGCGTTTGTGATCTCAGTGTGCATTGGGGAGTCACCCAAAAAGCATAAGACAATTCCAGTGACCAGGACCTCCTTCATGATAGTTGAGTCAAATGCATTGAAACCGGTTTTTGTGGTTTCACCATAAATAAAATAAAATATTATTTAAAAAAGAAGAAAAAAAAGGGCATTATAAATAAGAAAACCCAGTTTTTCCGCGTTTAGATGCGGTTTCTACTGCGGGCAGCACACGCCGTTTCCGCGTTTAGACGTGGCTTTGTATTTAATTTTTTATGGCTTATTTTTTGAGTTTTATGAATTTTTAAAATTGTTTCCTACACTATAAAAGGTGTAGAATTTAATGGTAAAAACCATTTTCCATAAAAATGAATTTTAATTATTAATTTTTTTTTCCACTTATTTTTCAATTAATTGTTTGCATGCATGTATGTTGTACCTTATTTTTATGCTTTTTTGAAATTTTAAAATTATTTCCTAGGTTTCAATGTGCGTAGAATTTAATGGTGCAATACAATTTTTTAAAAACTTAACAGTTCATTTTTAATACTGAAATTAGACACATTTTTTCACTTAAATTTCTACAGGTTAATTTTCATTCTTTTTTGACATTTCAAATTTTCTTCCTACACTTTAAGACATGTGAAAAATTATGGTAACAATAATTTTGCATCAAAATGAAAAATACATCTTGAATATATAACTGCATTTGACACTGTTTTTTTAATTTAATTCTTCACTTTTTCACTCAATTGTTTGCATACATGTGTGTACCTTATTTTTTATGCTTTTTTTTGAAATTTTAAAGTTTATTCCTACATTTAAAAGTGTGTAGAATTTAATGGTAACATTCAATTTTCTTAAAAATCAACGGTTCATTTTTAATACTGAAACTAGACACTTTTTTCAATTAACTCTTTACATGTTATTTCTCAATATTTTTTGACGTTTTGAATTTATTTACCACACTTTAAGACATGATTAAAATGATGGTAACAACCATTTTACATAAAAATCAGCGCTTGTTACTGAATACTGTGTTGGACAGGTTTTTTTAATGGTTTTTTAATTGGTTTTTGCTGGCTTAATTTTGAGCATTTTTTGAAATTTTGTATTTATTTCCTACATTTACAAATGTGTAGAATTGAATGGTGAAGTCCAATTTCACTAAAAATACAAGCTTCAATCTTAATAGATGAGTGTACCCTGTTTCTTGCATAATTTGTACCATATACAAATTTTATTTGAATGCAAAATGGATACAGCCATCAGTTTTAAAACCTGTCAAAGTTTGGGAAATGAACTTAAAGCTCCACAAGATAAGGATAATTAAGCGTGTAAGAATTGATTAAAGAAACATGTCAAATGCAGTATTCAAGATATAGTTTTCATTTTGATGCAAATTCATTGTTACTATAATCTTAACCATGCCTTAAAATGTCAAAAAACACTGAGAATTAACATGTAAAGAATTAATTTAAAAGAGTGTCTAATTTCAGTATTAAAAATGAACCGTTGAGATTTAAGAAAATTGAATGTTACCATTAAATTCTACACACTTTTAAATGTAGGAAGCAATTTTAAAACTTCAAAAAAGCCTAAAAACAAGGTACACACATGTATGCAAACAATTAGGTGAAAAGATGATGAATTAATTAAAAAAATGTGTCAAATGCAGCATTCAGGGTATAGTTTTCAATTTGGGGAAAAATGGTTGTTACCATAATTTTATAAATGTCTTAAAGTGTAGGAAATAAATTTAAAATGCCAAAAAATGATGAAAATTAAGTGAAAAAATGGGTCTAATTTCAGTATTAAAAATGAAGCATTGAGTTTAAAAAAAATTGGATTGCACCATTAAATTCTACGCACATTGAAACCTAGGAAATAACTTTAAAATTTTAAAAAAGCATAAAAAATAAGCTACAAACATGTTTGCAAACAATTAATTGAGAAATGAGTGAAAAAAATAATTAATAATTAAAGGGCATTAATAAAAAAACACGGTTTTTCCGCGTTTACACGCAGTTTCTGCTGCGCGCA